TATTTTTTTTTTTTTTTTTTTTTTAACGTCAATTATTTTTTTAAAGAAAATATCTGCTTTTTCCAAAAGAGAGGAAATGTCCCTTTTTTTTAAACACAAAGGACTTTTTTTTTCCTATCTAAACCCTTTGTGTTTTTTTTAAAAATAAAAAATAAAAAATTGGACATTTCCTCTTAAAAGCACATATATATTTTTTTTTTTAAATTGACGTTAGAAAAAAATTAATAAGATGGTAATAAAGATGTGAAATTTTTTTAGATAAATTGAATACATTTAATAAGGGTAAACTTGGAAAGCAAAAGTTAGTTTGTATAATATATTAATGATATTGTTTTAAGTGTAAGGAGAATGACACATGTCAAACAAAAAAGTAAGAAGGTCCAAAGAAAAAAGTTAGAGAGAAGATTGTTAGCATTCCTCCTCCAAACGAAATGGAAAATGATTCAACTTGATTTGATTGAGACTTTGCATATGTTTCATACCAGCATTGAATTCACCAATTAATCAGAGAGAGAGTTTCTTCGACAGGACTTAGTTTTGTTGGAAGACTTGACCCGATGATAGGTGCATCATTAGATTAATTGACTCAGACTTAACGCGGTTCGGCTACTTGGTTTTTCTGCTGGAAGAAACAACTGTGATGTTATTTACGTGCTCTTGCCAATCACAATTTGCTACGTGTCCAGATATCGAAATAGTACAACGTGACTGTTTGTCTTTTTTTTTTCATTGGCTGGTCCTTTACTCGAGTCTCATCCGTTTTGTGGTGGATGACCCGACTGTCCAACATCAACACCGAGCTGGAGACGGCCCATTTTCGATAATGACCGCAAAGGCGCTGCATTTATCTTGTAGAGTTCAGTTTGTAGCTTGTCTGGTGAAGTTGGTTGTGGTTGTAGTTGTGTTTTTAAAATGTTATTTTGTTGACGTTACAAGTATACATTGAAGCTCAGAGCTCTGTCTATTAACAGGCTTCAAGATGTTACAGCAAATTCGACTCTTCATGATCAACGGCCATGATCTTACTAATAAGCTAAGCTAGTGATCATTTGTGCAGAGCAGCCCCATTAAATCTTTTTAGCTTCTGGTTTATATATATATATATATATATATATATATATATATATATATATATATATATATATATATGTAGTAGCAGCTGCCATGCCATGCCAGTTCTGATATTTTTTTTTTTTTTTTTTTTTTAACGTCAATTATTTTTTTAAAGAAAATATCTGCTTTTTCCAAAAGAGAGGAAATGTCCCTTTTTTTTAAACACAAAGGACTTTTTTTTTCCTATCTAAACCCTTTGTGTTTTTTTTAAAAATAAAAAATAAAAAATTGGACATTTCCTCTTAAAAGCACATATATATTTTTTTTTTTAAATTGACGTTAGAAAAAAATTAATAAGATGGTAATAAAGATGTGAAATTTTTTTAGATAAATTGAATACATTTAATAAGGGTAAACTTGGAAAGCAAAAGTTAGTTTGTATAATATATTAATGATATTGTTTTAAGTGTAAGGAGAATGACACATGTCAAACAAAAAAGTAAGAAGGTCCAAAGAAAAAAGTTAGAGAGAAGATTGTTAGCATTCCTCCTCCAAACGAAATGGAAAATGATTCAACTTGATTTGATTGAGACTTTGCATATGTTTCATACCAGCATTGAATTCACCAATTAATCAGAGAGAGAGTTTCTTCGACAGGACTTAGTTTTGTTGGAAGACTTGACCCGATGATAGGTGCATCATTAGATTAATTGACTCAGACTTAACGCGGTTCGGCTACTTGGTTTTTCTGCTGGAAGAAACAACTGTGATGTTATTTACGTGCTCTTGCCAATCACAATTTGCTACGTGTCCAGATATCGAAATAGTACAACGTGACTGTTTGTCTTCTTTTTTTTATTGGCTGGTCCTTTAGTCGGGTCTCATCCGTTTTGTCGTGGATGACCCGACTGTCCAATATCAACACCGCGCTGGAGACGGCCCATTTATGTTTGGGCCTTCAAGAAAAAATAGAAAAGGTTATGGAAAAATGGGGCCACAAAATACTTCCCGTTTCTGGGCTATGTGATGCAGAAATTTTTTCCACCTTTTATTTTCCAATTATGGAAGAAAAGGATAATAATGATGACTGGACTGGAGATTATATCCCCCGCCATAAAAAACAAAAAAAAAAACAAAAAATCATACTTCCAAACTGCCAAATTTTCAGTGGCTGAAACTGTGCTCAGCAGCAGCACGCATGGTACACCCTCTAAAATGAATTCTCTTACCTTCCTTCAACCTCTCTCCAATCTCTCTTCCCCTACCACCCTCGTCTCTCTCAAAAATCCCCACCACATCCCTTTTTTTACTTCTCTAAATCCCTCCTTTATCCCCAAAACCCGCCCATTCAAATCTTTCACAGCCTCATTCTCTCTTGCAGAATCAAACTCCCCCAAATCCTTACAGCCCAATCTTCAGCCTTTCCTCCAAGAACTTGCTGTAAGAAACCATTTCCTATTCAAATTTCGAACCTTTGCATCACGATTTCAATGCCAAAACTTCCATAAATTTTATATGCATTCCTTAGTTTTATGTTTTCAATGTCAACAGTGCCTTAATTTTAGTTTCAGTTTTTAATTTCTTTTTTGTTCTGTTCTGTGCAGGATAGTTTCGATCTTCCACAAGACTACTTTGCGCAGCTTCCGAGCGATCTCCGTCTCGATGTGAGTAGAATTTTTGCAATTCTCAGTGAACCCAGTTTCTTTAATTTGATAAAGAATGTGACTTTGAACTGACACAGTTTTTCAAATTTTGTTTTGGGCATGTTTGAAGCTGAACGATGCAGCATTTGATCTTTCAAATGGACGGGTCATTGATGAGGTTAGTTCTTTCCATTGCTCTGCCTCTGCATTCTGTTTGAAATCTGATTAATACTTTCCCCTCATCCTTGGTCTCTTGTCTGTCCAGCTGTCAAAAATTTCTGCTTTTGAGTGGATACAGATTACTATTAAAATTACTGTCTTTGGATTTTCTTATTTGCAGTGTGGTCAAGAGTTGGGAGAGACATTGTTAAATCTCTCTCGTGCATGGGAAGCAGCTGACACATCAACTTCCCATGCCTTAGCTAGACAGCTCCCTGGGTTGGAGGAATCTTTGACAGGCAATGCCAAATCAGGCAAGAATGAAATTATATGCAATTGCTGCTTTAGATGTATTCTTCAGATTTTGATTCAAAAGCCTATATCTATTTCATTATAGCATTTGGGAAGCGTTTGGTTTCTGCTGGAAGAAGGTTCCAGTCTATGGGACACTATGGTCAAGGTGAACTACAAAAGGTATGTTATATATCACTTGGGCAAGACTGAGTGTAATGTGGGGGACTAAATAATCTTTTACTTCCAAAAGCCAAAAGATTTGTTTATTATTTTAATACAAGCCAAAAGAAACTTATTTATGTTGTTATTGTGAATGAAGATACTTTGGGAAGATCTATGTGAATCCAAATACCTCAAACCCTCTAGTTATATTTCAGAAGTTTATGGAACAATTCTCTATTCTATTATAATGCAATATAACTAGGTTTCGTGCGCCTCTAAAATAGCATTATTGTTGGACTCTGTTCAACCATTATAGATTGCAAAAGTAATGATTACAACTGGAAGGGTTCTATCTGAAAGTTCAACATCCACGGTCACTGATGAACAACCAAAGAAGGAAAGCAGGATGCTGAAGGTAGATGATAGCACTGCACTTGATGGAAGTAACAACGCATGCATTTATTCTAAACACTTGATATGATGTATTAATGTCATTGCCAACTGCAGTTTGGAGAACTTCAGCTCGAGCTTACATCAGATAAAGCCATCATTGGGGCTATAATCAGCGTTGGTTTTGGGTAAATATATTGGACTTAGTTCTCTTTTCTACTTTTCTGTTGTAACAATGAGGTACAAAAGAGATTTCTATTCTTTTTCCTTTAAAATTTCAAATGTAGAATTCTTTCATGGGAGCTAGCTCAGGGCATCCAAAACATCCCAGAGAGTTCGTTGCAGTACGCAAATGAAAACGCTTTGATGCTGGCTAAGGTGCTTGAAGATTATCCGTGTCATAGTTGTAGCCTATGTTTTCTATTATAATCTATTACTGCATGCTAAAATATGAAGGTCAATGAATGCAGTCTTTGAGAGGAGCTCTACTTGCAGTCTGCTATTCATCAGCATTCTTGTCTGCTCTTACTAGTGTTGGACTTGTCTTACTTGGAAGACAACTAAAGTCATCAAAAGAAAAGTGAGCTTGGTATCCTGTTTACCTTTCTTTGTATATGCACAGTCGGTCCATCTCTTTTATGTAAAAGAATTCTCTGATAGAAGTGAAATTAAATAATGCTCAATAATGGTCTGAAGAAGTGCATAAGCTAGTTATTAACAAAACAATTGTATCATAATGTACCAAGTTGAGAGCTCTTCTGTGTTCATGCTGATTATCGTTTACGTTTACATTTTTTCGGGAACTTTGTACCCCGAAAAAGGGGAATCTATGAACCTACATTACTGTGGGCTGCTAGTTGCAAGATAGTTCTGTACAGTTCTGGCTGCATTTTATTAAGGCAAAGCAAAGGGAACTTGTCCTTGTAATAATTCAGGTTATGGTTGTCAGTCGCTTTCCTGTTACTATCCCTCTTTGTTGTAAATGAATTAAAACTATGTGGCGACTTGAATTGTATGCATGACATATGTAAATGGATTTTTTGTATAGACTTTATGTGTTTGTTTGTTGAGCAATTCAAAATCTTTGTTTTATAAGAAAGTCGAGCGTGCTTGAGATTGAGACAATAGTCAGCAATGCTGTCACAGGTTCATGAGCCAGACAAGTTTTCTATGTGGCAAGACTTGTCTGTTATTCTGGTTATTGCGACGTCCTAATTACTGCTAACGTAGGATGTTTGAAAGATACAAGTATGATTATTAATTACCAAAAAATAAAAGAAAAATACAACTATCAGATGATGTATTGTTGGTTTGAATTGAATATAATTGGGATGGAAGAGTCGAGAGTGTGTAAAAGGGATATAATTGACATTTAACCCTTAAAGAGGATTCTCTTGTTAATAATTGTATATATATATAGATGAATAAAATCCAATTTGCCAATTTGAGAGAACCCCAGAGAGATTAGAATCTTCTCGTTTGACGATGCAACTTGGCTTCAAATTGCATCACACTTATAGTAATGATTCTTTGTTTATATCCTAAACGTTTTTGTAACTCATTTATTTCAACCAACTTGTTATTCTCTCTTCTTAGTCCTCTGGTGGCGATCAAAATTCTTAAGTGTTAAAACTATGTCATCATGCAAATGATCTATTAGTGTAGTGGGTTTGGAGTATTTACTCCTTCAAACAAGGTTTTGGGTTTGAGTTTTAATATTCGTGTAGTGTATATAAATTTAGTATGCTATCGCTATTCTCAATAAGATTGCTAAAAATATAAAAATGGCATCATATTTATCTTTGGGAAATTAATTAAACAATATTAATTTTCCTATTATAAAGAAAAGTTGATGCGACTTTCGCATGACATAATTACAAGGAACGGACAAGTCTAGGCGCCACATTTTACTTTTTATATGCCTCAAAGGTTCCTTCATTTAAGAGCCTCCAAGTCTAAGGTATATAAATTAAGAAACCCCTCGAGTAAACAAATTTTTTTTTAACCTCTCATTAGTGTTACCTAACAACACGCAAGGATTTGTTTAACAACCGACGACTTTTAAAGATGCAGACAAAAACAAAAGAATTACTCTAATTGTCTCTATCATGGTATGCTCCCATGAACGTGACACTCTGCAATTAAATTCACAACTTCCATACTCTAATCTGACACAGTGTGGGTGGGCAATTACTGTCAACAGCATTAGGACGTGTAACAACCGCAATTAGTTCTACAGAGAGTTGAGATATATTATTTTTTTTTGTGTTGTTGACAAATGATGGGATATTTATAAGATTAATAGGATAGATAATTCATGACATAACTACGCTCGTATAATGGGCCAGTCACATTTAAATATCGAATTCGTCATGCATATATGTGATTTGCGTGTTTGTGTAAGTCAAGTTTGAGAGGCTCTCTAACCAAACATACGTAACTATGCCACTAAACCAAAGACTAATTGATACATAATTGGCTAATAAATTGATGTTACACCTAAAAATATTAGTGAAGCAAGTGATCAAACTCTATTAGACGATGACCACAGCAAAACCAAACAGAAACAAGTACTATACGTATCAATTAGGTACCAAACATATTGTTCCCTGTTGCCCTTCGCATGCACATGCAGAGGAATAATCCAGACATGTTATATTTAGCCTAACTTTCCTATTGCTTAATTTTGTTAGTTTAAACTTATAATCATCCAAATCAGCTTTAACATCATCTGCTGAATAATTTCCTCTACTCTTTTTTTTTCCTTTTTTATTTTTATATTTATTTTTTTGGTATTAGAATTTATTAATAAATATAAAATTAAAAAAAAGTATTATCCATTAATTAATATCATCTGGTCCACAATGTTTTTGATATAGAATATGGACCCCATAATCACACAGTTGCATTAGGGAGGAGTGCATGGCCACACAGTGCCGGTATTCCTATCCATTTGCTCTATAAAAAAGACAGAATTCGTTCTTCACTTCTTCACTTCTCTCTCTCTCTCTCTCTCAGAGACAAACATCATGGGCTCTCTGACCTGCACAGCCTCCGACCTAGCCCCTCTTCTCCTCACCACCACAACCACAACCCTCAACGCCACCACCATAGCCGAATTCCTCTGCAGCCGCTTCAACACCATCAACATCAAATTCAACGACACCACCCACGCCATCGACAACACGTACCTCCTCTTCTCCGCCTACCTCGTCTTCGCCATGCAGCTCGGCTTTGCCATGCTCTGCGCCGGCTCCGTCCGAGCAAAAAACACCATGAACATCATGCTCACCAACGTCCTCGACGCCGCCGCCGGCGCTCTCTCCTACTACCTCTTCGGCTTCGCCTTTGCTTTTGGCGCTCCCTCCAACGCCTTCATCGGCCGCCACTTCTTCGGCCTCCATAACATCCCTTCTCTCTTAGGCGGAGATTACAGCTTCTTTCTCTACCAATGGGCTTTCGCCATCGCCGCCGCCGGCATCACTAGCGGCTCAATTGCTGAGCGAACCCAATTCGTCGCTTACCTCATTTACTCTTCTTTTCTAACCGGCTTTGTCTACCCGGTCGTTTCTCATTGGTTTTGGTCTGCTGATGGCTGGGCCAGCCCGAGCCGGCCCAATAATCTACTCTTTGGTTCCGGTTCCATTGACTTTGCCGGCTCGGGTGTTGTCCACATGGTTGGGGGAATAGCTGGTTTATGGGGTGCTGTAATTGAAGGACCGAGAATCGGGCGGTTTGATCGAACAGGCCGGTCCGTGGCCTTGCGGGGTCACAGCGCGTCTCTAGTGGTTCTCGGTACGTTCTTGCTTTGGTTCGGGTGGTACGGCTTCAACCCCGGTTCGTTTCTCACGATCATGAAGAGTTACGGTGAGGGAGGTACTTATTACGGTCAATGGAGTGCTATTGGGAGGACAGCTGTCACGACCACATTGGCTGGGTGCACTGCTGCTCTGACTACCTTGTTCAGCAAGAGATTACTGGCGGGTCACTGGAATGTTCTGGACGTTTGTAACGGTTTGTTAGGGGGTTTTGCTGCGATCACCTCAGGGTGCTCGGTGGTAGAGGGTGGTGGGAGGGGGGGCGGTGGGCAGGAGTCGTGTGCGGGTTTGTGGCGGCGTGGGTTTTGATCGGGTGCAACAAGGTGGCGGAGAAGCTAAAATACGACGACCCATTAGAGGCGGCCCAATTGCACGGCGGGTGCGGTGCTTGGGGGCTAATGTTCACAGGGTTATTTGCAACGGAGGCGTATGTGAACGAGGTATACGCTGGCAAGCGAGGAAGGCCTTTTGGGCTGTTGATGGGCGGCGGCGGGAAGCTGTTGGCGGCCCAGATTGTGCAGGTTTTGGTGGTGTTGGTGTGGGTGAGTGCCACCATGGGCCCACTTTTCTACGGGCTCCATAAGCTGAAGTTGTTGAGGATCTCAGAGGAGGATGAGACTCAAGGAATGGATATGACAAGGCATGGTGGGTTTGCTTATGTTTACCATGATGAAGATGATCCATCCATTAAACCTGAGTTTATGATGAGGAGGGTGGGGCCCACTGATGATGCCAGTCCTGCAATAATCACCCCATAATAATTGACAGATAATCTACCCTAATTAAACCTCGTCATCATCAGAAATCAACAAGATTATGCGTGATATCATGGGATGGGATGGGATGGGATGGCATGGCATGATATCATTATTCATATGAATGAACGAAGCTATATACATATTTACACTCAAGTCCCCATCAAATCAATGCAATACTTTGTTTTTTTTCTTTTCTTTTCTGTCTGGCCAAATGAGATAATTAACAAATAGTTAATCCAGTTATATCATAATTATGATGTTATTAATTAAGAACATGGGAATTAATGATATAGAATTAGATTCTCTGATCCATAAATATTAGGATGCACATGCACTTGTGGGATCAGATTCAATGAGACAATGTTTCCCCTCATCTGTATCTGTAAGCTTAACAACTGCAAAGCAGAGACGTTCTTCTCCGTAGATAGGAGGATTGTCGTCATTGTTAACTCGAAACGACCACACCTGGATTATATCCTCTTTCTGAAGCTTATTCTTTTTGTTCTCTGAAATTTTGGACCAACCACTGTTTAACATATAGGAAGAACTACGCTTTCCCTTGCTCAAGCCTGAACAAGACCTACTTTTGAACTTCCACTCGCTCAACCTTAACTCATTCTCGTTTAAATTTGGATCGATTACTTTCACTCTTATTGATCCCTCAAGCTTCAATGTTTTCTTATCTTGTTCCCCAAGAAAGTCCTGGTTACTCACTTGATTCTTTGGCATTGAGAGACGGTCGTGATGCGGGCTCAAATCGGTAGGGAAAATTTCTTTCTGAATTACCAATTGCACTCTGAAACCGTGCAAGGATTGAATCTTGTTCTTGAATTCCATAGGCATGTCTGGTGGCGTAGAGGGAATTGATGATAAAGCTGATCGCATGCTCACTGCTTTCTTGGCCTTGTCCTGCTTCTTCTTAATCAACTTGCTTTCTTTCTCTTCAATACACTTATATTCATCTTCGTCTTTGCTGCTTCCCAAACTCTGCTTTCTAATTTTCATATGGTAATTTCCAGCAGAAGTAGAAGCAGCTTTTTCTTGATTATAATTATTCTGCTTGGAGATGGACGCTTCTGCTTTCCTCGCTTGACTTTGAATGAGATCAAACACAATTCTTTCTGTTAGCAATTGATCCTGTTCAACTGGGTCTCTTGAGACTGCCTTAACCTCTTCCACAATTTTGTCAAAAGAATCCGAACTAGACTTATTCTTTTTCAATTCTTCAAAGCTCATGATCCTCGTCGTCAACTCCATGGAAGGGAATTACTAAAGATCACCAGTACTTGGATGTATCGACAACAAAGATGGAGAAGGAAGAATGTAGGGGCTGTTGAAGTTATAGGGGGCAGCACATTTATATATTACTACTGCTTACAAGCGAAATCCTTCCCTTGGTGATCAACATCAACTAGTAGTACTAAAGAAGAATTTGAATTAGTAGAGCTTTCAAATTCAATACTCACCTGGATTCAAATCATCTTACGGATTTATATATGGTAAAGATTATCATAAAAAGCGGATACTCTGTATTTGTTTATACTAAGAAATCCCAACTCTTTTCTGATTGGGATTCTCTAAAAATCGACATAGAAAAATTAAAGAACATAACAAGCACGAAAAAGGAGTCAAGCCGCCTCATCTCCATTTCAGGCAAGCCTCATTTCTTATCATGTTTCTTTTATGTGAAGAAAATGGTGGGGAAAGTATTCTAGAGAGCAGATCATGTGGTATTTTAAGTTAACCCCAAACTTTGTTCTTTTTTCCTATTTAGCAAGAGTTCAGACAACTCTTCTGATCCAAACCAAGTCTATAGACAAATGTGATGTGATGATACACAAAAACTATTTTCCTTTTCTCAAATTTTCAGGTATGTTGATCAATGAATCATTATTTTTCTTGATACATACATAATGTTGTTAGACTAAATGAGAGAAAACAAAAAGAAGAACAGAGAATTGTATTTAAGAGAAAAGCTTTCAAATTGTATTGATTATTTCATCATTTACAATGTATAATCTAACAGATTGTAGCTTAACTAGTTAAGCTGACTTGGCCTTCACTATCAATGAATCACATAAAACCATTTTCTACAAAAAAGAAAAAACTCCCTCCAAATTTATACAACAGGAACAGAACAGCAGCCTCAATTTTTTGCAAACGTTACGTCTCTAAACTTGATTGTGATATGTTTCCTGGCTCCAAACTCAGAATGGTTCTTGGCCATGGATGATTCATTAGCTTCGTTGCCGCGGGCAATGCTACCATTAACATCTTCTTTCTTGCTCATCGACGTTCCAACAGTTTCCATTCTGTCATTACCACCATTAACATCTTCTTTCCCCTCTTCTTTCTTGCTCATGGACGACGATGATCCAATAGCTTCCTGGGGATCTTTAACATCTTTGTGCTTAACAAGTGCGAAGCAGATACGTTCTTGGTCGACAAGATTGGGATCGGAAACTCGAAATGTCCACACCTGAAGCACATCCTTTGCCTTAAGGTTATTAGTCTTTTCTGTAAAAATCTTGGACCAGCCACTGTTTAACACATAGGAATAGTTGTTTTTAAAGACCCACCTCTTCATCCTTAATTCGTACTCTGTTAAACACGGATCTATTACTTTCACTTCTAATAATCCACCACCTTTCAATTTTTGCTTGAGTTCTTTACCCAGAAACTTTTTGTTAGACAGTTGATTCTTTGGCATCGAGAGACGGTCATGGTGCGGATTCAAATCAGTAGGATGAATTATCTTATACATCACAAATTGCAAGTGGCGACCATTCATGGATTCAATCATCTTCTTCAATTCTATAGGAGGCGCGTCAGGCGGTGTAGAGGGTTTTGATGGTAAAGATGATCCCTTGCTCTCTGCTTTCTTGGCCTTCTCCTTATTCTGCTTCTTCTTCTTCGTCAGCATCAACTTGCTAGCTTCATCTTCATCACCATAATCATCCCCATGTTTCCTTTTCCTGCTTTCGAAACCTCGCTTCTTAATTTTCTCAAGATAATTTCTAGCAATATCAACTTTTTCATCAATGTAATTATAATTAGTCTCTGTGCTAACCACCTTCCTCTTCTTGATCACAACTTGGGCTTCCATGCGTTCACTCTCGTTCGAAATCGAAACATTCGATTGTTGTGCTTCCTTGGATTTTCTTTGCAATTCATGAATGAGATCAAACACAACTCTTTCTGTCAGCAGTTTGGATACTTCTTCTGGGTCTCTTGCCACTGCTTTAACCTCTGCCACAATTTGGTTAAAGGACTCGTTACCCAACTTCTTCTTTCTCAAATCTTCCAATCTTATCTTCATCGTCATCTTCAATTTCTTCACCACTTCTCGAGTGTAGGAACTGAGATTTATGACCTAGTTAATTAATTTCTGAAACAAAGATGGAGATGATCAATGCTACTTAGAATTAATTTATAAGCACAACCCTTTCCTTATTGATCAAGGAAAACCTTCATCTATTCCCAAACCCACAAGGACATATTTAAATTACTTACCGGGCTTTTTAATCCTCATTTCACCTGGGTTTAGCTCATTTACTCTTTTGCCATTATGCTTTGACTGAATTACAGAACCCTATTTCCTATCGAATTTAACCTTTTTGCTATTCTATTAATACACGGGCTTGCCAAAAATTAAGACAAAATATGGTTTTCTTTTTCTTTTCTTTTTTCAAAAGGAAAGACATAAAATTCCATGTCAAAAAAATAATAAATAATAAATGAAAAGAAAAGCCGATAATTTTTTTTTTTTCTCGGGAAAAAAGTTTGAGCTATCTCTGAATTTCTTAGGGGAAAAAAAGTTTGGTAGTTTAGCCAAAACCACAGGGACAAAGTGAATTGAGAGTATAGGAAACTTGATGCCCAAGAAATTGAGAGTACACTTAGGGTTTGGTGGGTGATGCTACTTACTTTACTAATTAGTTAATTGGTGGTATTAGGGGTTTCTTCTCTCCTCTTATTGCAACTACGAACCCTACTTGTATTTTATCAGACTACACCTCTATATAACACAAAGATTGTTTTTGTTTAAGGGAAATTAACCGAATTAATTAGGCGGATGCAAATGAAGGGCAAGGCAAAATATCAAAGGCCTTGTACACAGGCTCAGAAGATATGCTTGTTTGACCTCCAATATCACTGATGAAGCAAACCATGGTCATCATGATCAAACTCCACTGTCTGATCACCTTAGCAGCCATGAGCATATTAGGCAAAGCTACAATGCCGGTTTGAACGAAAAGGCACTTAATGACCCAATTTGCTTATGGGAATTCAATCTAATCTAGTTACTTTTATGCGTTTATTTTACTCTTGTAGGTATTTGTAGCTGAAAAGGTTATGAATGTTTTAAGTCTTTTAATGGAGTTATCTTTAATATAAATCAAAATAAATTTCTCTAGTATTTCATTTATATTTTACATTTACATATGTTTGATTAGATTAAACCTAAGGATAAATATTTAATATTTCATTATTGTCTTTTTCCATTATCAAGATTCAAAATTGATCATCCAATCTAATCCAATTCAATATCAATTAGATCGGATCGGATTTAAACATCTAATATGATTGGATTGGATAGAAAAAAAATCACAATTCAATCTATATTTGATCATATGCGGATTGACTAAATTGTATTAGTTTCGAACCAACTACACCCTACAATGAACATGTGTGCGAGACAATTAAAGAGCTAGATGGATTTTTTTTTGGGGTCAGAAAAAAAAAAGTCAAAACAGAGGAGGAGCAATAATATAATTCTATAATTAAAATTTGCGAGCTCACAAATATTTACCAAAACAAAATAAGAGAGAATTTACGAATATAATTTCCTAACTATGAGTGCATGAATTGACAGAGAATCTTTACTAAATAGTGACCAGATGATTTCAGCAAAGTTAAGTATGAATCATTAAGCCCAGATCCAGAGGAAAATTCCATTATAAAGAAATACTGCTATTTCCAAGCCCTATTTGTGCAACGCAGTACTTGTCTTATTTTTGCAAACTCAAAAAATGTATGGAATAATAAAAAAGCAGAAACAAGGATGGAAATAGCATATTCTTATAATTACATAATTAAAGAATATATTGCAATTAACTAAAGTAAATACTTAATTAATTGGAGCACACATGATCAGTAATTAATTGGAAATCGAAACATTTGATTTTTGGGCTTCCTTGGATTTTCTTTGAAATTGAATGAGATCAAACACAACTCTTTCTGTCAGTAGTCTGAATACTTCTTCTGGGTTTGCTGGGTGTGCTGGGTCTCTAGCCACTGCTTTAACCTCTGCCACAATTTGGTTAAAGGACTCGTCACCGAACTTCTTCTTTCTCAAATCTTCCAATCTCATCCTCATCGCCATCTTCAATTTCTTCACCACTTCTTAAGTGTAGGAAACAGGATTTGTGACCTAGTTAATTAATTTCTGAAACAATGTTACGTTGATAGAGATGAACAATGTTACGTAGAATTAATTTATAAGCACAACCCTTTCCTTATTGATCAAGGAAAAGCTTAATCTATTCCTAAACCCACATGGACAAATTTGAATTACTATCCTTATTTCACCAGGATTTATATAAAAGCTTTCTAGTTTTTGGTAAGGATTTATTCAAATTCGATACTTGGGATTTATTAACAAAATAAATGAAAAGAAAAGCCAATAACGTTTCTTTTTTCTTTTTCTTTTTCTTTTTCTATTTTTGGTAACTACGTTTCCTTTTTCTCGGGAAAAAACATTTGAGCTATCACCGAATATCTTAGAGGGGAAAAAAATGTTTAGTAGTTTAGTCAAAAGTTACCACAGGCCTAGGGCAAATAGTAAATTGACAAGATTTCTGGCTCCAAAGCTTGTAAACCAACTCCTTAGAGCATCTCCAAGGGAGATGTCAAATACCAAACATCAAATTTGATGGCTGATGTGGCAATTTGACATTTACACAGTTTTACAATCCACCTCAAAGAAATGATTATTGTAAAAGTCAAATTATTTAAGATAAAGAATAAAAAAATTTAAAAAAGGAAATTAATGAAAGTAATAGCTAGCTGTCTTTAAAAAAATAATAAAATAATAATTTGACATCTTGCTTTTGGGATGTCAAAAATAACATCTCAACCTCCAGCCTTCATTCCACATCAGCTTTGACAATTCGGTTGGAGTAATGTGAGATGTTATTTCTAGCCGTTAAATGTCTATGTGGCACTTTTGACACATTGGTTGGAGATGCTCTTAACCTTAATGAGCAATGGCTAGTAGAAAAGTCAAAACAGAATTCGGAATCCTTATTGGATTTGGACATGCGTGCTGTGTGAGATAATTAAAGGACCCAGATGGATTAAACACAGGGTTTTAGATTTAATGGCACTTGAATTTTGACTATTTTGACTTGATTTGTATTTTGGTCTCTTAATTTTCAAAATCGTTCTCATAATCCTTCAATTTTAATTTAGTTAGGATAAATGGTCATGTCGTCAATTTTGCTAACTTTTTCTGTTAAATTTGAGCATGTGCATGGCACATGGTGTATTGTTGAGGGTCAAAATCGAAAATTGCTTCACTCTTTGGGTTCATGGGCAATTTCTGGCACACCTAAACCTTGCACTCACTCCCCCACCACTGCAACTTAACTCTCCCCATCCATATATCTCCCTTCCTCCCCAAACCATACCCACCCTCCCTGCAATGGCTTCTACCCCTCATTCTATATCTATATAATGTCCTCGATTTTGCTGATGAAAAAAAAAAATTGAATACTTCATCCTGAGGAAAGAGGGGTTGGGACTTGGTGAGGGTGAGGGTGAGGGTGAGGGTGAGGGTGAGGAAGGCTTGGTGGTTGTTATGGGTTGTGGCTATTGTGATAAGGATAGGAAGAAGGTTTTTTAGTTTTATTTTTTGGGTGAAAGGAATATTTAGATGGTGGAAATTAAAAATAATTTCAAAGTACTATTTTGCCCTTGTATTTAACAGAAAATATAATAAAATTGATGACATGACCATTTGTCCTAACAAAATTGAAGTCGAAGGATCATGGGAACGATTTTGGAAATTAAAGGACCAAAATGCGAATCAGATCAAAGTTCACGTACCATTAGACCTAAAAACCCATTAAACACGAGATAGTGTTCTCCTAATACAAGTGAAAATAGAGGAGCAACAATAAAATAACTCTATAATTAAAATTTGTGAGCTCACAATATTTACCAAAACCAAACAAGAGAGAAGATTTACAAATCTAATTTGGGTCCGGCAACTGCCTAACTCATTGCATGAATTGACAGAGAATCTTTACTAAACAGTGAGCAGATGATCTCAGCAAAGTTAAGTATGAATCACATTAAGCCCAGAGAAAAATTCCATTTCCAATATAAAGAAATACTGCTATTTCCAAGCCTGTTTGTGCAATGCAATACTTGTCTTATTTAATGATAATAATACACAACGCTAGCTAGCTTTAGCTACTTTGCAAACTCAAAAATGTGTACGTGGAATTATAAAAATACAGAAACAAGAATGGAAATAGCATATTCTTATAATTACATAATTAATGAATTTGACAATTTATATATATATATTGCAATTAACTAAAGTAAATACTTAATTAATATGGATTTAAGGGCATCGTGAATTTTTGCCAGGGCCACCATAGTAGAAGTGCGTGCCCCATTCATTGTTGTACGAGCTCTCGATGTTGTAGCAATTGGTGTTCTCAGCCAAAGTTGACACACCTGGGACCGAGCTGAGGCTGTTGTCCGAGTCCACGATCTCAAGGTTTCGGAAATAGCTTGCTTTCCCAAACCCGTCTTCAGCGAAATGACCCGAACCCATTTGCGTGGCGGTGTGCTCACCGTTGGCTCTTGTGTTCACCACCTCGCCACCCCATTCTACCATCGTCGCCTTCTCTTTCAAGTGTGTGAATAACTCCGCTGGCCAGTACCCTACAAGTGTATTGTCTCCAAATCCCATCCACCAGTTCCCTAGCTTTGGATCCTACACACACACACACATAACACATTCATACTTATATACGTACATTAACAAAACCGATCATTAATTAAATTTAATTTATACGGTAATTAATAATGTTCTCTTACTAAACTTATGTTGATGACATAAAAATGTTACGTTACGTACCTTCCATATGAGAATGGTGACATCGTATTGGTTGCTGGCATAGGATGAGACAGGAGAAATGGAAGCTCCAATTGCTATCTTACTGTTTGTTTGGATAAACCCAGAACACAGAAGATTGTAGCACCCAGTCGCCTGATATGAATCGGTCTATATATATACACAATCAAAGAAACAAGTTATGCAAAATATATACACACATTGACATGCATTTAATGATATATATTGGTCGAGTTCCATGATCTGTTTGTTCGAGTGTTGACTAACATGCATGCATATAATTCTCAAGGCTCAAAAGAAAAGCCCATGCTCTAGGATTGAATTGATATTAAAAAAAAAAAAAAGTCAAGTACCTTACTAGTTGCTTGCACTTCATAAATTCCTAGCCAGCTAGCTACTCTCTAGTCTCTAGGGGTTATTGAAGGCAACCGGAAAACTGAAAGTTGAACCAATTTCCAAATTCCAATGATGTCCTAAATGAAAGACTTTCATGACCACAAGCTATGCATAGCTACTCTACATAGTTTTCTGTGTATCAATCAATTTCATGGTAATTAAGCTTTGTGGCCCATTTATTATTACTGCTAGGTAATTGTAAGCAAGCCATAACCAAGCGCTCTTTGTGCTCAAATTTGATTTATAGACTTATTTCGTGCAATGTAATTAAGCCTATAAATATACAATCACATCACAAACAGCGGTACAATAATACTATGTTACATGGAAATGTTATCACACGTATCATAGCATTATTGGCCAAATATAGCAAAATAGTGTTATCTCCGTTTCATAAAAGTCTTTCTTCAAAAACACACACGGTGCAAAATGCATGCAATTAATCAATAAGCCTATTATATAGACATGTACAAGGACAACTTAAATTTCAGTTAATATAATTGGGTGAATGCATAAATATTGAGAGAAAAAGAGAGAGATCTGACCGTCCAGTAAGTGAACAATCTGGGCCTGTTGTCACCATAGAGCTCCGGACTGACCTGACTAGTGGAATAATCAAGGCTTCATAATTTAGAATTAAGCGCATAAAATAAAGAATAAATTAAATGGAAGAAGTACCTGCCATCCAGCTTCTATGCTGTTGAGATCTGAGCCGTCGAATGATCCGGAAAGAACCCAAATCTGGGAGAGACTGAACTCGTTTCCTTGTTCGATCGAGGGGGTCCACACATTGATTGTCGCCCTTGCCCCATACACTTCTTGCAATGATCCGGTGTACGCGATTGCGTGCTATATATCATTTTAATTCATACAACTTTCAGTCAAATAATCATCATTTCATTACTTCGTCTTGGAAGGGTTTTTCTCTTTCTTTTTTAACAAATTCGAAGGGTTTTTCTCTTTCTTTTTTAACAAATTCGAGGAAACGAGAGGCGGACACACTATCTTCGTCAAACAAATCCAATCCAACATTTCATTAAAACTGTTTGTTGGCAAATGTAGCCGAATTTGTTGAAATATTACACAAGCTATTATCATCTAGAGATTGGCTTTTCGAGAAGTTAATAATTTATATTGTCAAAGTCATGGTCCATAAACATTTAAATATTTCAACAACAACATTTATATATCTATGCAATTTAATGTTCTCGGTAGCTATGCAATTTATATATCTAACATATTCCACTTCCTTTTGATTATACAATAGGAAATCAAAATTGTGTATCCAAGACTAATCAAGACACACATCTTTTTTCTTATTTAATTTCATCCAACTTGCAAAGAAAAAGAAGACGACGACATGACATGTATGTTTCCAAGGAAATGAATGGAGGTTTTTATCCGAAAAGGAAAATGCTCGGCATACCTCATGGCCATTGCCGCTGACTACATCGGGTGCATCGGTGCGCCTAGCAGCAGGATCAGCAGTGAGATTATTATTAAAATTGAAATTATTAGGAGGTTGCTGCTGCTTCTTCTTGCCATAGTGAAACAAAGATTTGGCTCGCAGGACGTCATCTACTGTGCTTCGCCGTATTGGAACCGTTCCTCTGGGACATCTCGTCCCATTTCTGTGCCACATTTGCTGCACAACCCATGCACCCTCCTTCCCCTTACCCTCAACTGCCGCTGCTGCTTCATCTCCATTATTATTGTTAATCCCTTCTTCATCTTTATCATTTGTGTGCTTCATCTTCTTCTTCATCGCTTTTGGCCTTTCTGGTGCCTCCTTCTGTTACGTTACGTATAATAATATTAACACAAATATTAATTATATCAAATCAAATTAATACACAAGTGATATAATTGCTTAAGAGGAGAGAGTTATGAGGAGGAAATTAATTTGCATTTATACGTATGTATTTTTTATTTTGTTGGTCGTACGTATATACGTATGTGTATATATACAACAACAACAAAAGTTATATAAAGAAAAAATATAAAGCCAACAAATCTAATAAATTGTTGTGGAGAGAGAGAGAGAGAGAGAGAGAGAGAGGGAGGAGGGGCAACTTTTTTAAGCTTTTTGTACCTGGATCTTGTGATTCTTTAAGAGAGGGTGATCCAAAGCTGGCTGTTTTCTTTTATGAACGCAATCTATTATATCTCCATCTGGGCTCTGCAAACATTGAAGAAGAAAAAAACCAAAACAGGAAACCCCACATGAGAAATATCTATATATATGAAGTGGTAAATAAATTCAGATCTTTTAATATTACTAATTGAGAAAATAATTAAGAATTTATACTATATATATATGCAAATACCTGAACGGTGATGACAGCAGGCTTGTTGATCTTGTTGAGGTGCTTCTCAATCCTTTGCAGTCTCAAGCTGCTAACTTGCTTATAATTATGCCTTGTGTATTTTAGGCCCCCTGAATTCGAAGCAGCTTCCACTGAAGGTGAAAACCTTTGGAAAAAGCTGGTGCAGATGCATAAGAAGATGATGAGAAACAAGTACTGCTCTCTCTTCTTCCTTCCACCAATATTAATAGTAGAAGTAGCCATCATCATCATCTATTATCTCATTCAGTGCCAAACAAGAAACAAAAAGGAAGAAAGAAACTAGCAGAAGCAGCTCCGCATGACCATTACAGGTAAAACAAACAACACAACCAAATCTGACTTTGTTTGCTTGATATTTACTTGCACCAAACACCCATACATACAATACCACAAAAGAACAAAAGAAAAAGACTTATGGCAATTCCAAGAGGGGTCCTATATCTTTCCTTTCCTTCTCTCTCTTCTCTCTCTCTCTCTCTCTCTCTCTCTTAATGGTTTAATGGTGAGGAAGGGGAGGTGGGTGAAGGATAATTAAACACAGTGCACAGCAGAGAGTTGGCCCCCTGAGATGACCTTCAGAATCAAGATCATCATTGTCTGCTGCAGCATTGGTTTCATAATATATATATATATATATATATATTGTTGCTCTTTCTTTGAAGTTGCACAAGTTGTTGAGTTGAGGCAAAGAATTTAAGGAGAGGAGAGGGAGAGGGGGAGGGCAGTGGCCAGGCTAGAAGAGCATTAAAATTAAAAATAAAAGAGCAGACCTACCCATTACCCATTACCCAACTGAAACAAGGACACTCCTTCAATGTGTATCTGCCCCAACACACTTTGCCATTAATATTTACTTGAAACCGCACACCTTCCTTCTTCAACTTCTCCTTCCTACCTTTCTTTAGCTTTCTTTCTTTCTTTCTTAGCTACACTCTCCGTATATATTCCTTCATCTTCAATATCCCTTTTTTTTTAATTTGTTTCCATCACCTTTTTATCCCTAAGTAGCAATCAATTGCCATGCTTTGCTTTCTATCCTTTGCTTCTACCACATTCCAAGTCAATGCGTTCCCTCACCTTTTCTCACCTAAATGTAAGGTATGTCTGAATGTGAATATGATATGTTACCATCTACAAACGTACGTTCACCATATATTGTACACATATATATATATATATCAAATATTATATTATACAATCATTTTCTATTAACAGATCCCTTAAAAAACCTTACTCGGAGAAAGAGATATATCGTTTAAAGTCCACTGCAAATTTTATTTCAACAATCCAAATCATTTATATATTACTCCCTTTCGTTGTAAAGATAATTAATGAGTGCTTAGGGTTTGGACTTTGAGGTGATAGAATGGAACCCAATGAAGTAAATAGCTGTTGTTCAAATTTCAACGTATGAGTGTTGCTTTTTTTTTCTTTTTCAAATGGATGGAAGCGAACAGTCCCTTGATCTGTGCTGCAAACGCACCCTTCTCCATGTGGTATACATTTCAGAATAATGACAAATTTTAGTAAATGTAGGAAGGATAATAAAATAATGAATAAATTATTATCTTATATGAAAATTTTAAATGTGTTTACGATATAATAAATGGGCAAGCTTCTATTCTCGAATCTCGAATGCTTCTGTGCTCATTTAATAGAGAGAAATTTGGTTGTCAGTCTCCTCCTCAACTCCACAAGCCTGGATTTGACTCGAATTTTTTACTTCAAATGACCTAAATACCCTCCACAACATCTCGTGATATTTTACTGTAACATCTCGTTTTTGGAGTTTGATAGTTGAAATACAGGAGAAAATAAATATATATCCAGTGCCAGACCAGAGGGAAAGAAAGAAAAAAATCATTGTTGTAATAATTTTAATTTTGGAAGAATTTACTTGCGAGTATTCTATCTCCATTTATTTTACTACCAAACTCAAAGGCCATAAAGAGTATTTATTTACTACCAAACTCAAACCCCAAAGGGAATGCAGTGTTCCACGATTATTCAGATAGTTTCCATAAATATACTTGAATAATAATGAATAAAAACATAAAAGACCTGAAATTAATCTGAGTTGAGGCCATGTTTCATCAAACATAAACATGTTACATGTACATTCAACTAAAATCAATAAACAGAAATCTAGTAATCAATTATAAGGGATTTATTGAATTTGAATGCTTGACCAGTTATTCTCCAAGCCAAGTCAAAATTGTGAAATCATAGCCCATCAAAATATCATCAATTTAAACAAGAGGTGATTTAAATTGGAGAATGACCACACAGCGATTGGAGGGCCCCTTTGCCCTTAATGCATTATATGTCACTGAATAATAACATGTGTGTGCAGTTCCTACGGTGCTACATGTAAATGTAGAGACTCGAGATCCCATCCCACGATATATATGAACAATTAATGCAGCTGGCTCATTGAGGGTCATTCTAGCCTTTGCACATTACGCTCGCTTCTAAGGCAAGAAGGCTTTGAATGGAGAGGCCATGACATGACCGTTTTATTATAATGTCCTGCACCTAAGTCTCTGCTGATTTACCAATCTATCCTCTCTCTCTCTCTCTCTCTCTCTCTCTCTCTGTGCCGTGATTTGAACTATCTGAACTTTGCAACTACTCATGAACTTTGACGGCTAAGGAAAGATATAACCTGAACTTGGCAAAACCCTTTAGCTAAGCAATAGACTTTTTATTATTATTATTATTATTATTATTTCGTCGAAACACTTGCTTTGTTTTTGTTTTTGGCTTCAGCTACCAACCCATACCCAACAGGTAAAGCCATAACGTGGAACAGCCAAAGGAGGCTTTGGTTTGTCACCCAAGTAAAGGCTTGGTGTGGAACAAACAAACAAGGTGCAAAGTTGATCAGAGAAGATAAACCAATGCGCGACTCTTAACTGTCATTATTAAACATACGTACATACATACAGACATGCATGTTCAAATTCTAATGTATGTGGGGTTTTGTGAAAGTGAAGCCACGGAAGTTGGTATGGGGGTTGAGTCTGCGGCCAGGAAATGAAATGATATTTCAACCTTAAAACATTGGTAAATCATTTTCTTTTTTTACTCGGATAATCAAACAAGTGAGATTCCAAAGCTACGCTAATGGCATATTATACTTGGGAATAGCTCTGTGATAAGATGAAACATTATATGAAATATTTGATGTAGCTTACAAAAATGGCAAAAGCCAACATGCGCTCTTGTTCTATACATGATCCTTTGATTATATATATATATATATATATATGATATCCAATCAACAATTATATTCAACTTATAATACCCAGGTGAGAAAAATTGGGTATGGAGGCCTCTATGATTTGTATATCCGCAATTCTTTGATAAAAATGTTCCATAAAACCTTCTGCTGGCATCCCAAACGTATGGATTTTCTATACCTCCACTTTTGATAAATGAGATATTCGCGGCTCGTCAAACAACATACATTTTCAGCCACTTGCCAAGTCCTCACTGTCGCTATCATCACTGCATATTCCCAGAAGCAACAAGCAGTTGAAAATACCAGCAATTACAAAATATTTAAAAACAAAATCAAATTATCAAGACCACAATGCACATTTTGGAAAACCAGTGTATTTTCTTTTATATATATGTACCGTAGTATACCTGTTTTCAGGGATCTTTGATATTCGTCTAGCATCCAAGCCTGTGATGAATTTTTGTGCAGCTTGAACATTTTCAGGACCTGGAAAATATGTAACAGAAACTGTAACAGCTGCATTTTTTGGTCCGACAACTGAATCATTGGAAATTTTTCATTTGAACTATTGCAGTAAAACTGTAAGAGAGCTTGAAAAAAATACCCTTTGTCAATTGGAAAGCATGCAGAGCACATCTTTCCGCTGCAAGTCTCACAGGAGTGCTTCCATCTTTCAAGCATTCAGCAAGTGCGGGTCCAATAATATTCATATGAGCCAAAATAGCCGAGGAATTTTCCTGTAATGCAAACACCAAGCATAAAATCCTTAAGGATTTGCACAGTTGAAGTCCATAATTTCAGCATGCAATTCCAAAAGCCCCAAGCACAAACCTTAGAACCTGCTTTTATAGCAGATAATGCCTTTCTTCTAACTTCACTAGAATCATCGTGCAAAGCTGACACTAAGGACGATATAATATCCGAATGAACTGAGCTATTAGATGGATCACTTCGGAACTTATGAATCAGAAGTCTCCCAAATGCCTTGGTTGAAGTTTCACGAAGAGGGAACTGTTTGAAGGAAGAGTGTCACTAGTTTGCAAAGCATAATAAAAAATATATATAAAAATGCTTGCTATCAGGACTAAGTACCTTCTCATCAGTCAAGGCACTTTTAAGCTGGTCCAGAATAGACGGAAACTCTGGAGACGTACAAATAACGGATGGGTTGTGCCTGAGCATAGATGAAATTGTGAGTATGGAGCCATGCCTAGCAGACCAGCTAAGAGACAACGGCAAATTTGAGAGTTCCTGAAGCAGCTCAGACAGTTGATCATCTTCTACGTACTGCAAATAATCAGAGAAAAGTCTGGTCAATAATAAAAGAAAACCACTAAGAAGCCAATAATATATTGGAAAGCCAGAGAACAATAAGAGTTACATAGAATCAATTTAAATGAATGTGACAGATCTCATGATGATTTTGATGGTATTGTTGATTGCAGTTTGCATGTAAGCAAATAGAAAATGGTTTCCATATATCCAATATGAAAGAATTCTAGTGCATCTCGTCAGTACTCTATTACTTTTGTATCTTTTTCGCAGAACACAAAGGCCGATGAAAGATCATAAAAAGATTGGCAACGGACATATTCGACACTTCCATAAAACCTTCTCAAATTATATCCCTTTGATATTGATCATTATTTAAGCTGTTTCTTACTTGCCACATTCGTCCATTATTTTTATTCAACAAAATCATGCATCCCACTCCTCTCAACTAATTACTCTAGTATCCCGACAGATATATTATTGCATCAATCAACAAATATCAAACTTCCAAATGAAATCTCCAAATTTCTTTTATTGTTACGCCCAATTTTACAGATATCTTCTCCAATCTTCATATGTGCTCTGCATACATACTTTAGTTGCCCAGTCAATATCAACAGTACGAACATTGTCTACAACCGTATATCAACAATACAGAATCTTGAACATCATGATTAAGCGACAGCTAAATACATCTAGAAACCTTAATTGCTCATGCACAAAATTAACAACAGATGGTAAGATATAGATATTGGAGAAGTTCCTATATTACCGATGACATACCTGGGATGTGATACCCAAAATGCTTGCCGCAGATATGCGAACCTGGTCATCATCATTATGAATCAAATCCTTAAGGTGCAAGTAGACACGAGTTCTAACAGCACTGCTCAAGCTCTTCCCAGCATGCTTCAGGACACCTTCTAAAGCAGACAAGCTTGCCTCCCGAACCCCACTATCCGAAGCCTGAACAGTGAAATCAAGAACAATTGTAAAATCAAAATTTGAAATTTAAGTGCATCAAAGATCCTAACTAACAATCACCTGCAAACTCGATAGGAGGTCTCCAACTAAAGGGTCAACCCGGGTACTGAGAGCACTAAGCTTCCCAAGTGCAAGGGCAGCACTTGAACGAACAATTCTGCGCTTGAAAAGCATCTAATAAGGAGGATATATGGAGGAAACAAGCTGGACTACTTGTGCGCCACTAATGCTAATATAAGAAAATACACAAGAAGCAATTAAATGTAAATCTGATTCTTTCTC